ATGGCAACTCCAGGGTGCTGACCACGATCACAGCTGTGGTAGCGTCGTCGGGAGACGTGCAGAAGAGAGGCTGTCGCATTCAGATGTTGCATTCTTCACACATTTTTTTCCCCCCATTATAGTGTTTTTTTTTTACATAACTCAAATTAATCATCAGCGTCGTTTGTGGAGAATATAACCAGCGCAATAATTAAGCGGGCAATGTCTCCTTCACATCACACATGAGTAGTTCTGTATGATATTACCGTGTTTGTTGTCAAACTGAGACGGCATATTGGCAGTACGGAACGCTTCTGCGGCCGTCTGGAACGCTCTTCCTTCCGATATTGGGAAGCCATTGGAGTTGTGCACTTTTAAATCTAGATTGGGAAAAAAAAAACGAATTTCTTTAATACTGCTTTCTGTGTTTAATTTGTTGTCCTTCCCCTGCACCTCCGATTCGCACGGTTGGTTACGTACGGTGCGAAAGAAGTTCTACATACATACACCAGCAAGGCTAGTTCTGCTGACAACACACTGCACGTGGAAACCGGTCCAGAGTTTTGCTTGTCTTAAAACAATGCTGCTGCTGTTATTATTATGCACTTACAAAAGCAGTGCAGCTAATAAATACGTTTACCTATTATTTTAGTGGGAGATCTGTAAATGGATCACGCTGTACTTATGCACTGCACATACAAGTGGGGTCGTTAAAAAAAAGAGTACTGCATTGAGAAGGACTGACTGTTTACAATATATGCACATCACTTACACACTAAGAACAATTATCATATATTACACAATTATCATACACGAATTCCAAACTCACCGTATATATCATGCCCGACAATAAGTAGGTATATACTGCGGTCTGAGCCATGTACATTGTTCTGAACTGAATATATATGATATTGGCTGATGGTGGGGAGATCATGGTAGTGGCGGATGGTGGTGATAAAAGTGTAAATATCAGGCTTTGGAGGACGACTGTACAACTATTGCGAGGTTGTGCCACATAGACAGAAGCGATGGCGAGCCATAGTGAGTTCTGAGTTGAGTCGCTGATTTGAATCAATGTCGAAGTTGTCGGTCCAGCTGCTGGCTTCAGCGCACGGAGAGTGTCTGTACGACTCATAACCTCCAAGAACGCTCATCGTGGACACGAGTTCACACGTTCACACAGAGACCCATAGACTCGGACATACACATAGACTCACACAGAGACCCATAGACTCAGACAGACACATAGACTCACACAGAGACCCATAGACTCAGACAGACACATAGACTCACACAGAGACCCACACACTCAGACAGACACAGACTCACACAGAGACCCATACACTCAGACAGACACAGACTCACACAGAGACCCATAGACTCAGACAGACACATAGACTCACACAGAGACCCATAGACTCAGACAGACACATAGACTCACACAGAGACCCATAGACTCAGACAGACACAGACTCACACAGAGACCCATAGACTCAGACAGACACATAGACTCACACAGAGACCCATACACTAAGACAGACACATAGACTCACACAGAGACCCATAGACTCAGACAGACACATAGACTCACACATAGACCCATACACTCATACAGATACGTAGACTCACACAGAGATCCGTAGACTCGGACATACACATAGACTCACACAGAGACCCATACACTAAGACAGACACATAGACTCACACATAGACCCATACACTCAGACACATAGACTCACACAGAGACCCATAGACTCAGACAGACACATAGACTCACACAGAGACCCAAACACTAAGACAGACACATAGACTCACACAGAGACCCATAGACTCAGACAGACACATAGACTCACACAGAGACCCATAGACTCAGACAGACACATAGACTCACACAGAGACCCATACACTCAGACAGACACATAGACTCACACAGAGACCCATAGACTCAGACAGACACATAGACTCACACAGAGACCCACACACTCAGACAGACACAGACTCACACAGAGACCCATACACTCAGACAGACACATAGACTCACACAGAGACCCATAGACTCAGACAGACACATAGACTCACACAGAGACCCATACACTCAGACAGACACATAGACTCACACAGAGACCCATAGACTCAGACAGACACATAGACTCACACAGAGACCCATAGACTCAGACAGACACATAGACTCACACAGAGACCCATAGACTCGGACAGACACAGACTCACACAGAGACCCACACACTCAGACAGACACAGACTCACACAGAGACCCATAGACTCAGACAGACACATAGACTCACACAGAGACCCATAGACTCGGACAGACACAGACTCACACAGAGACCCATACACTCAGACAGACACATAGACTCACACAGAGACCCATAGACTCAGACAGACACATAGACTCACACAGAGACCCATACACTAAGACAGACACATAGACTCACACAGAAACCCGTAGACTCAGACATACACATAGACTAACACAGAGACCCATAGACTCAGACAGACACATAGACTCACACATAGACCCATACACTCAGACAGACACATAGACTCACACAGAGACCCATACACTCAGACATACACATAGACTCACACAGAGACCCATAGACTCAGACAGACACATAGACTCACACAGAGACCCATAGACTCAGACAGACACATAGACTCACACAGAGACCCATACACTAAGACAGACACATAGACTCACACATAGACCCATAGACTCAGACAGACACAGACTCACACAGAGACCCATACACTAAGACAGACACATAGACTCACACAGAGACCCATAGACTCAGACAGACACATAGACTCACACAGAGACCCATAGACTCAGACAGACACATAGACTCACACAGAGACCCATACACTAAGACAGACACATAGACTCACACATAGACCCATAGACTCAGACAGACACAGACTCACACAGAGACCCATACACTAAGACAGACACATAGACTCACACAGAAACCCGTAGACTCAGACATACACATAGACTCACACAGAGACCCATAGACTCAGACAGACACATAGACTCACACATAGACCCATACACTCAGACAGACACATAGACTCACACATAGACCCATACACTCAGACAGACACATAGACTCACACAGAGACCCATAGACTCAGACAGACACATAGACTTACACAGAGACCCATAGACTCAGACATACACATAGACTCACACAGAGACCCATAGACTCAGACAGACACATAGACTCACACAGAGACCCATAGACTCAGACGGACACATAGACTCACACAGAGACCCATACACTAAGACAGACACATAGATTCACACAGACACCCATACACTAAGACAGACACATAGACTCACACAGAGACCCATAGACTCAGACAGACACATAGACTCACACAGAGACCCATAGACTCACACAGACCAATAGACTCACACAGAGACCCACATACGTACACACACTTACACAAACTCACATAGAGACATATAAGTTTGCGGTGGGAATTGTGATTACGCCTGCCTTGGCCAGTTCGGACTCGATTTAAGATGGCACACTGCTTGAGCTTCAGGATGGCTGGGTGGCGATTTTGATATACAGCGTAGATGCAATTGATGGTGAATTTTATATTGCCCCTACATGCAATTGAGCGTATGTGCTATATAAACATACAGCAGACAGCACATTCACAAAGGGGGGCAATGTTTACCACACTCCAGGCCTCGCGACCCATCTCGGTGCGCCTTTACACGTTCACCAGCCAGTGTTTCCCCGCTCAAATATCAAATTGTTAACCCGCTGAACGAACATGATGATTGCTAAACAAGTCCCACGTGACACGTCAAGCGCCGATTCAGTGTGTGCGTGTGCGTTTGTGTTTGCATGCGTCCCATGCATGTTCCGAAGAGAAATATGATTCAATAAAATTAACAGATCTTTTGCGCGTGTGCGTATGCGCCTTTGTGTGTGTGTGAGTGTGTGTTACTCGCTGTACATAAATACAAATATCCCCCATATAGCCTGTAACAGGCCGTTGGGGTAAGTGCGCTTAAGCACTGCGCTATGAGCCCCGCGAGCCGAGTTGGATTCACCACTCGGGACGAATATATGAACCGATCTTGCGCTTCCCCCAGGTCGTCTTAGTACATGGTGCGGTGTGTTTAAAACATCAGCACGCGGGAGACAAAGGCGGCCGGGCGTGGTGATGGTGGCCACACAACCCACTCGTGTACCGTGACGGTCTTAATGCTCGCCAACAGCACTTGCCCCAGCAGTCTGTTAAAGGCTATACGGGGAGGGGGGGGGGTCTTTGTCTTTGTGTGTCTCTCGTGACAAGCAAGAGATCGATCATTGTGAATCAGAAGAGCCCTCTCGACTTAGCGTCGCCCTACACGGTGTACTAATCATCCGACGCGTGGCGCGCATGCAACGTGCAGCTCATCAGCGTACTTAAATTGCATTTAAACTGAGAAAAGGCGATTACAATCTGCCGCGAGTGCAGAGACTCGTGGGTAACAAAGCAAGGCGTATCGAAAAGCTGCGGAAATGATTGGTGACGGCTTTGGGGACGTAAAGGGAAGCCTTCGTCCAGCAGTGGAATGATAACGGTTGACGGTGATGATGATTATGACGACGCCGATGATGGTGATGATTGTGACAACGATGATGATGGTGATGATGATTATGACGACGATGATGATGGTGATGATGATTATGACGACGATGATGATGGCGATGATGAGTATGACGACGATGATGATGGTGATGATGGACAGGTGGACCGTGGTGGGATCGCGGGGTCGAGGAGTGTTGTTGTTGTTGTTGTTTCGACTGACACGGAGCAATGGTGGCGTGGCCTTGGTGGACGAGTGGGCCACCAGGCCGCGAGTCTAAGCGGTGTTCTTCATCATCGGCGTGTGAGGGCCACCAAACATTTCAAACACCATTGTGGTTTTGACAGCGGCACGATGATGATGGGAGGGGGGGGGGGGGTGTTTTCACTATTTGTGGATTGTCGGGAGCGGGAGGGGGGGGGTCCTAACTAAAGGCCACCAGGGGGGCGGCTCAGTGGCACCGCGGTGGCTTCGCGATGAAGAAGACGAATGAGGAATGTGGCTTCGCAATGAAGAAGACGAATGAGGAAGGTGGCTTCGCAATGAAGACGACCGCTGCGCTCGAAGTCACCAGAGTCTGCCGCACGAGAGAGCGCCGCCGGTGGCCTGCAAGAGGCCCTCGTAGTCGCAGGCGTGGGACGCGGCCAGGAGTCTGGAAGCGGCGGCCGCCTGGTGGGGCGGAGAGGACATCTGCAGGTGGTGGTGGTGCTGATGCGGCGGCGGCTGCTGCTGCTGCTGCTGCTGACCGGAGGGGTGTCCCGAGAAGTTGGCGCACGGGAACATTCCCCTCTCCGCGGCCAGAGCGTGGCCCGACCCCTCGCTGCCGACAGACGCCGACTCCAGTCGCTCCTGCGCAGACTTCAGCTCCTTCTTCACGTCCTCCGGTGATCCTCCGATCGTCCTCGGGCTCAGGGACACCTCGCCGCCGTCCGCCGTCGACGACTGACGGAGGGCGCCCGGCGTCTTCTCCTTGGTCTGGCGCTTCATCTTGTAGCGGTGGTTCTGGAACCAGATCTTGACCTGCGTCGGGGTGAGGTGGATCATGCTGGCCAGGTGCTCGCGCTCGGGAGCCGAGAGGTACTTCTGCAGCTTGAAGCGGCGCTCCAGCTCGTAGACCTGGCCCTGCGAGAAGAGGACTCGCCGCTTGCGCATGCGGACCCCGGCCTGCAGGAAGGGGACCCCGGCTCCCGCGTGAACCCCCGAACCGCGCTCGGGGTCGCTCGGCGTGGCCGAGGAGACGCTCGTGGAGGCGCCGTGAACGAAGCGGGAGACTTGGGGGGGGGGGGGGTGGGGTGGGGATGCGGGGCGTTGATGGTGATGACGGTGGTGATGATGGTGGTGGTGGTGTGGATGTTGGTTACAGTGGTTGATGATGGTTGTGATGTTAATAGTGGTGGTGGTGGTGGTGACGGTGGGGGTGATGATGATGACGTTGGTGATGAGGAGCAACACACAGCAACCACACAAGAGAACATGTTAAATACAAGGAACATCGTCGCTTTCATCAAAAACACCGTATGCTCGTGACCAGCTGCGGACCATTGTCTCAATATTTGTGGTGGTGGTGATGATGATGATGATAATGGTGATGATGGATGGCTACGTACGGTGCGAAAGAAGTTCAACATACATACATTACGCAAGTGGTGGTTTTGAATGTGGTGATGGTGCAGATGATAGGTGTTGGTGATGAGTCTGGTGGTGATAACGTCTGATGATGTTGGAGGTGCTGATGGTGGTCATAATGGTGTTGATGATTGAGGTGGTGGTTATGAAGGTGGTGATGATGGTGGTGGTAATGGTGGTTGTGAAGGTGGAGATGGTGGTGATGATGGAGGTAGTGATGATGTTAGTGGTGTGTAAACATCGCTACTGGGGAGAGAAAGGCGACCGGGCGTGGTTCAGGCCACCCACCCTCTCGCGTGTCGTGCTGGCCTTATTAGGTGCTCGCTATCAGCACTTGTCCCAAAAGTCTGTTCAGGCTATACGGGGGATTTGTGTCTTTGTTGTTGTTTTTTTGATGAAGATTGTAATAGTGGCGGTGACGATGGTGGTAATGGTGGTTGTGAAGGTGGAGATGGTGTTGATGATGGAGATGGTGATGCTGATGTTGCTGATGGTGGTGGTGATGATGATGATAGTGGTGATGATGGTCGTGATGATGATGACGTATGTATGTTGAACATCTTTCACACCGTACGAAGCCAACCGTGCCAATCGGACGTTGGTGATGAGAGCCAACCACATAACAACTACACAAAGAATAAATATGTTCAGTACAACAATGGACGTTTCTGCACTAAACAAAATGTAGATTCTGCAATAGAATAAACGACGTGTTTGTAAAAAAACAAAAATCGCCAAATTAACATTTGTAAAAATCCAATGATGTTGTAGGGTGATGTAGCGGGCAACGTCACATCCTTTAGGATATAGCGCCTCACTCAAGACAACATCAAAATTGATCACAACCTTCGTCGGTGACTTTGGAGCGGTGCTGAAATGTCCACAATCCAGTGGCAGGGCATTGTAATTTACATGCACCCCTCCCCCGCTCCGGCATTCGCACCTGATAGGCTCGCAAGTGGCGACATTTTGTTGACGTGACAAACCTTACTAATTGGCTGCGTCGGGTGGTGGCAGATTTCACGACACATTTACGCGATCCAACCCGAAAAATCCTCTACTATGGAAGCATGTCAATGTTGACCTTACAATCTTTGCAAACGCGCACCCACGAAAACGCGCAACTTCGCTGCTCAAAATTGGTTTGAAATATTATGAATGTGAAAAAATATATACTTTAAAGTTAAAATCGGGTGCGCGACTCCCACTTGTAAAGTCACTTACAATGACAAATATACCCCGTATAGCCTTTGCAGGCTGTTGGTGCAAGTGCTGTTAGCAGGCACCTATGGAGGCCGGCACGGCACACGAGGGGGTTGGTGACCAGCACCACGCAAGACCGCCATTGTCATTTGAGGCTGAGTCGACTTAGGTGAGACTCAGTACCGATTCACATAATCGTCAGTGGCGTTGGCCGTGAGCGGGAATAGAACTGGGGTAACCGGTTTCAAAGCGCAGCTCTCTCCACACCAGCGCGTGCTGGACAAACACGCATACAAAGACAAAGGTCCCCCGTGTAGCCTTCACAAACTGTTGGGGCAAGAGCTGTTCGTGAGAACCTCGAAAGGACACACAAAGCCTTGGCGTGAATCTACAGGGTACGGGACTGTTTGGCAATGGTTCCATATAGACTACAGTTAGTACAGGAGCCCCAAATGGTCTCCTGATGAATGATGCAACTTGCTGGGGGAACAACAGCCCAAGTGTATGCAGAAGGACGACGGTTCGATCCCGACCCTGACGCCAGCTGTACATTTGGAGTTTGCGTGTTCGCTCTCCCCGTGACCGCGTGGATTTTTTTTCTCTGGGGGGGTCTTCGGCTTTCTTCCCTCCACGTTTAAAATCCACCATGCGTTTAGAGTAATTGACTGCAACACATCTCAACATGATGCGCCACTTGCGTTGAGCTATCTTTTGTGGGCAGGTCACTTCTGAAAACGAGCTATATAGCTCAGCGGTCCTGACCTGGTAAAATATAATTAATAAAAAAATAGTTAAGTGTGATCAATGAGTGTGGCTCCCGCCGCCTCTGTAGGTATGTCTGTTGAACTTCTTTCGCACAGTACGTAGCTAACCGTGCTAATCAGGTGCTGGGGAAGCACAACAATCTCAACACAGGAAGCAGTTCTAAAGAAATTAGACATTTTTTACCAGTATCAAAGCATGAAACATAAGAATAGGTTTTACCCTTTCTGTCAATAACCAGGTGTTAAGATGTTCAAGCACCAAAGAAAAACCTTTTGCGAGGGATCAAAGTTCGCGTTAAGCCACACACACACACACAGTACTTGCGGTGAACGTGCAGACACACGTGCTCTGATAATTATAAAAACGTGCATTGTCTTTGAAACCTATGAGTTTCTAATGTAGATGTTTTCCAATCTAGATGCAATCTAGATAGGAAATGTAGACGATTTAAAAGTGCATCGCAATGCACGCGCGTGAGTGTTCCACGTGCAATGGCGGAGGCGATCATCACACACCACAGAGGCCATACGTGGGAATTCCACGTTCTTGCGACGAGGACTAGCCTCTTCCACATGACGACCGCTGTTGACTTCTCTCAAAGCAGCCCTTGTTCCACCGCCTCCGAGAGGGATGACGGGATGAGTCTGCGCTGGATCAGGATTTGAAGTCGCAACCCTCTGTGCCCAACGTTATCAGGATCTGGGAAGCTAAGCAGGGAAGTGTTCAGCCTGCTCAGTGCTCGGACGGACGGACGACCACGCAAACATAGACAGGTGCTATAGGCTGCCGCGGACAGCGGTGCATGCGGCACGCATCCATTATTGTACTGCGCTATGATCGCGCGTCAATGCTCGACCTTGGCATTCACCAACCAAACCGCACCGACCGGCGTGGTGAAGTATGGTCAGGGAACGCGCGCGAACCGCACGTCGTGCACGGGAAGTGGATTAACAGTACCACGTGTACTGTACGCGGTGGTTCAGATGTCTTGTGAGCCTCCCATTTAATTCTCAAAAACGTGATTACTTTTTCATCTTGATTTGAAGCTTTCGCGACTGCAGGATAGCCATACTCTTTTGGTCTTTCGGTAAAGTCACGTAGGTCGAAAATAAAATAAATCACGACGTTTCGATCGCAACACAAGCAGCATATGTCAGCAGTTGTCCTGCTTTATCTGTTCTAACTGATGGCGGTCGCTTGTGTTGCGATCGAAACGTCGTGATTTAGTTTATTTTATACCCACGTGACTTTGCCGAAAGAACCAAAGCGTATGTGATACTTTTTTTTAAGCAAGGTGTATTTAAAACAGAAATTAATATTCAAAGGAAATAAAAATGTTGGAGGTCAATTAATTGAGGGGTCACAGGATATTTGGACCGCCCTGCGCATTACAACATTGCATATTTATTTCGTGGGAACTGCAAACGGCAATAGTGCCTAACTGTGCAAATGTGGCCCGAATATTTCGGAGCAAAATTCGCCATCGCTTTAACGTGCCACAACAGACTGCCGTTAGTCCAGCGCGACAAAACTGACGGTCAGACATTTTAAAATCGTTAAACAGGTAAAACAAAAAATCATCCATATCGTAATCCGATCATGTACCCTAATACATCTTCAAAACAATCTTTAAACGGCTCTGTGTGTACACGCGGAAGCTTCCCCACCTTCCGTATCTGTGTGGTGGTTCATGCGGGACTGTATGCGTTGTAATTGGTGTGTCTATTCGGTGCTTGGACGTCTTAACAACTCCTGTTATCATTGCCAGAAAGGGTAAAGTTCGAGTCCCAACACTTGTCATTATGATGGAGTGTTCCTGCCAATAATCGGGCAAAATTGTGTTGAGCTGGCTTGACACTGCCGACGAGATCCAGAAGCTCCAAAGCCGGTTGGACAGTTCGATTGCCTGGACCAACTGCTGCTGGATAATTATTGGTCTGGAAAGGCAATCGTCTGATAGGCCAAATCCAGATTTTCCCAAAATCCAGTCTTCTTGAGAGACCGCGCTACGTCTTTCCGCTCTCACCAATTTACTCCCCAATTCCGATATAAATAACTCGTTCCACGCTGCACGCGCCCGATGATTGTTAAACACGTCCCACGTGACGCGCTAAGCAATGTGCGCTGTCTGCAGCAAGCGAAATTCGTGTACACACACAAAAGACAAAGATTGCCGTATAGCCTTAATATGCTGGTAGGGAAAGTGATGTTAGCGAGCACGGCACACGGAGGGGTGGGCGACCAAAACCACACCCGGTCGCCTTTGGCTCCCCAGTAGCGATGTTTACACACACACGAGGTATTCATATGAGGCTGAGTCAACCTAGTGGAGGCCCAGGACCGGTTCAAATAATCGTCACGGGTGTTTGCCGTGAGCGGGAATCGAACTCGGGTAGCCGGGTTCGGAGCGCAGCGCGCTAACCACTGCGCGACCGCTCATCACACACACATATACGCGCACGTGCACACTGATATCTTAGTCATCATTTGGATCGCCTCTATTAACGCAAGACAGCGTAAAATCGCTTAGCGCGTCACGTGGGACGTGTTTAACAATCATCGGGCGCGTGCAGTGTGGAACGAGTTGATTTGAATTTGAATGGGGAGTAGTAAATTGGTGAATATGGAACACAGCTGTTGATTTTGTACGTGGAGACATGCAGAGCGGAGTTACGCG